GGGGCAGGGACTGAATAGCCAAAGGGCTGGGGCTGAGCCGCAAGAGGACCTGGGCAGAGCTGGCCCTGCTCCCAGTCCATCGGGGAAGGAGCATCTGATGAGCATCTACTCTGTGCCGGGCACTGAATTGGAACTTCTCATGTCACCTCTTTTAGTCTTCATGACTGCCCTGTGAGGTGGGTATTATCACCCACTCCCGTTTTACAGATGAGGAAACTGAGGCTTAGAGAGGCTGACTAACTTGTCTGCAGTTGCACAGCTTAAGTCACAGAGCAGCCCATACGTGCAGTCTTCCTTCTGCATCTCCCCGCCGCCTCCTCATGATTTTCGTTGTTTGTGGAGTTCTGAAAGCCCCAGAGGAGCATGGGAATCTCTCAGAGCTGGGGCCAGAGCTCTCGGGCTCCCCCGCCTGTTCTACCCCCATGAGACCCCAGGTGTGTCATGATTCCTCTTTTTTGTGGAGGTCTCACCGCCAATCGTGGTGAGGGTGTGAGTGCTGGCCCTGCCCTCTGGGACAGAGAAGGTGGCTTAGCATTTGAGGACTTGCTGTATTCTGGAGGCAAGATGGAGTCTGGGTGGCCGAAACTGGGACATGTGGGGCATTTGTCTCAATCTCTAAGAAGCCAGTCATCGATCCCCAAATCATGTCCCTGCCTTCCAGATATTCATGCCTAGCCAGGAAGATACCACTACAATGACAGCCACTTCTCAGGCATTTTATTTAGTGGACAAATGTGCAGACTTGGGAGCTGGACACCAGATGTGAAGACCATGTACATCACCTTCTTAGTTTCATGTGACTTTGAGCAAATTACTTAACCTCTCTCGGCCTCAGTCCCTCTCATAGTATGGGGACAGATCAAGTGCCCTGACATCCGGGAGCTGCTGGTCCTCTCAGCCAGGCCTTGGTTGCTCGGAGCTGGCGGGGCATCTTGGTGTGCTTCTGCTGAACATAAGTAATTTCACAGACATCAACATCAGGCAAGGCCATCTGTGATCAGGATGGATCAAGACAAAAACCAGACTACTCCATGATCATATCTGAACACAGACCAAACATGAATACCGTCCAAGTGCAAAAGTCACCAAACATCCCCCTTACAGCTAATGTGAGTGAAGACTGCTTCTTTACAAGCTACACCTTTTGCCTCGTTCTAGACTGCCTTCCTGCTAAGATTTATTAAGATGCCTAATCACAGAATTACCTTCACTTCCTGACAGCATTCAATGAAGAACAAAGCCTCGCTTCCTTAAACCCTCACCTGAACCACCTGACACAAACCCAAACTTATAATAAGTCCTTTCTCACACGGTCTTACTGAGACACCCAGCAGTCCCCTTGGTGCCTGCTCTCTCGCTGCAAATGAGTAATAAACTCAAATTGTTCCCCACGGGTGTGACTCTGGCGATCTCTGGCTGGAGGCAAAGAAAGTTCCTACCTCAATGGGTTGTTGTGAGGGACATACTTATTCTGTACTTGGAATGATACATTCCTGAGACTCTTTAAATATGCTTGTCATACTTTAATATCATCTTCATTTTACAAAAAGGACACTGAAACTGGGAGAGGGGAAGGAACTTTGCCCAAAGTCACACAGCTGGTAGTGACAGCCAGGATGGAAATTCAGGTCTTATTCCACAGTGGGTGTCCTAAACCTCTGCCTCCATGCCAATAGGGCAGAACCAACAAGACAATGCTGGGTCAGTGTCCAAGGAGGAGAAGAGCATGGGGGTCTTGGAACTCAAAGAGAAGAGAGGCCCAGGGGTTGGGGGAGTTGTCATGATCCCCTGCTCCTCCTGTCCTATTTGTGACTTCCCTGACTGGATCCTCCAAGGGGCTTCCCTCCAAGGCTGCCTGGCTGCTGAGTAAACACAGGCCCAGCCAGGCCCAAGGTGGGGGTCAGTGTCAGCAGAGTCTGAGACCTGAGTCACTTCCTGACCCTTGCTCAAGAGGTGTCCAGAGCCACCACCTGAGTGTCCGGCTTGTGCCTTGGAATGATTGCACCCACTGTGGCAATGAGCTCTTCCCTGGTATCCCTCACCTTCCTGGCTCACTTCTGCTGCGCTCAGGTGTTTGAGACACACAACACAGAGGTTCCGGCCCCAACCTGGTGTCTGTCCCCAATCCCAGCCCCTTTCCTTATAGGATCCTCAATCCAGAAAGAAACCTGAATGTCCTGGACAACTCTCTCTTGCCTGCGCCCAAAATCTGGCTTGTAGGACCCTGCCCCAACTTCAGAATCAGGGTACCTTCCACTGGTGCCACCAACCCCAAAGGTCCAACCCCCCTGCAGTGCTCCCTTCTCTTTTTCTCCTAAAGGTCTCAGGGCCAGAGTAGGGGGTGGGAAAAGGGTGGGGAATATGTGAGATACCCCAGGGCAGGATGTACTGAGGGAGACACAGTTTGATCAGTAGATATCTTCTTATGATGCAGGCAAGGCAGATTATTTGAAATGCAGGCCATTTCCTTTCAGGAGCAATGCCTTTGAACTCAGAGACACTGCATAGCCTTGTAGCCAAGAGCATGGACTCTAGAATTGGGTTGTCCTAGCTTCTTTACCCAGCTTTGCCCCTTGCCAGCTATGTTACCTTGGGCAAATTACCTAACCCTCTGTACCTCAGGTTCCTTGTTTCTTAAATGAGCATAATAATAGTACTGACGCATAGGCCTCTCACCAGGGTTAAGTGAGTTGTATATGTAAAACACTTCGAATAATGACTGGCTCATGACAAACACGAGTGTTTATTAAATAAATGTTTTTTTTCACTTTAATGGGCTGACTCTTCCATTCATTCTCCAAACATTTATTGATATCCTACTGTGTGCCAGAGAAGAATAAGACAGATTCCCAGCCCACAATACCTGTGGGACATTTCTGTAGGATCCTGCACCTCCCACCTCAGTGGTCTTCCAAGCTGGGCCTGATGCCTCAGGACTGCATGGGAGGCGCTGTGGCACAAGGTTTGGGGGCTGTAGACTCCCTAGTGTGGACCCCCAGCTTGCTGTAGGTCACTAGCAATTTCCTTTCCTTGTTCAAGACACCCTCTCTCCCTTAAACAAAGCGAACCAAGTGGTCCCCACCCCTTCCACAGCCCGATCCCTGGGCCAGGGAAAGTTTGTACCAGTTGGCTGGGTATCCAGAGCCCTTGTGGCCATTTTCTGCCCCTTACCCTCTTCCTTGGGGGCCTTTGTGATTTGAATTGAGCGCAGAATCTCCTTTGGGCTGCACAAACCACCAGACACAGGAGGCAGATGGCCCTGGCTTGTCATTGCCCCCCTAGGGCTTTAGGAAGCCAGCAAAAACTGTGTTCAAAACTGGAAATTTGAACCTACATTGACCCTGCCTTCCCTCTCCTGCTTAGGTCTAGCCAGCCCCACCGCGCCCCAGCTCTTGACCTGGAGGCACCCCACTCCTGCAGGGCAGCCCCGACTCTGTTCCGGGGACCCGCACCTGCCGCTGTGTCTCCGCCCGGCCTCTGGGCCACAAGGGGGGCCGGGAGCAAGTCCGGAAGCGCAGGGCTGCAGGGCAGGCCGGGGCGGGCGGCCTCGGCGCACCTGGGCGAGCCGGCAGGTGGGACGCA